CCCAGTCTCCGATCCCCCCCTTTATCTTCTCCCCGCCTTTTCCCTCTGGAATGTGATGGTTTGTTGGTTTTGGTTTTGGTTTCTTTGCTTAATCCCTTCACTTCCCTCAGCCAGCCCCCAGCCCCTCCCCTCTGACAGCTGGCAGTCTCTTCTCTGCGTCTATGAGACTATCTTTCTGTTGTTGTTAGTTTGTTCTGTTCACTAGATTCCACATGTGAGTGAAGCCACACGGTCCTCGTCTTCCTCTGGCTGGTTTATTCCACTTGGCAGAACGTTCTCTACGTCCACCCATGCTGTCGCCAGGGGAAAACTTCCTTCTTTTTTAAGAAGGTATGGCGCACGACCTCGGACACACCTAGGCGGGCCCAGCAGGAATGGACAATCACCAGGCGGGAAACTGCACCGTGGGAAACTGTAGCCCGGGAAGCTGCCCGCCTGCCGACCCTGCCCAGGACAAACAGATCTGGCATCACGGGATGCAGCTCCAACTTGAACCTGACAAGATGTATCAAGAACAGTGGTCAGCAGAAACGGCACCCAGCAACTGGCTCTAGCCAGTCAGACTCTGCCACCCCAACCAGTTAGCTTTTTGTGCTTCAAATCCCTGCCCTAACAGCGACCTAGCGAGTCGTTCAGCTCCACTTTCCCTCTTATTCCCGCTGATAAACCTGCTCTTTGGCTCGCTGTGTCTGTCTGGTTTGTTGAGCGACTCCAACCTAACAACCTCTTCCCTTTCCAGCTGCCGGTAAAGGGCCAGTGTCTGTGCCAACGGGCACCAGGCCCGGCATTGCGGTGCGTACAGGCACCTCAGTGTTTCCATCCACCCGCCCACTGACGGGCACTTGGGCGGCTTCCAGATCTTGGCTGTTGTCAATAACGCCGCCTCGAACACAGCGGTGAACACATATTCTTTTGAGTTTCTTCAAGCAGATTCCCAGAAGTGGAATCACTGGGTCACAAGCGATTTTTAATTTTTGGAGTTAAGTCCAGAATGGGTGGCTACACCAGTCTGGCTGGATTCCCACCAACACCGCTGTTTTGGTCTGGGAAGGTCCGGCAGCAGCTCTGGGACTGGCTGGGGATGCGGTGGAGGCTGTGAGACCACAGCTGGGAGCAGCCTCCTCCCCTGGCTCTGGTGAGTGTAGAAATCCCACCTTCCTCCCCTTCATTTCTGGATACTCTGGGGGGAAATGTCTAGAAACTCCTGATTTCAAAAAATAAAAGACTGATGTCCCGGGCGGGTGCAGAGAAGGGACTTGCCGTAGGGAAAAGGGGAGTTTCTGGGCTGACCTCTAAGGAAGAGGAAGGGCCGGTGGGGAGTTGGGTAGCGACCTGGTCTGTCTGAGGCCGCCTTCCCAGAAGCAGAGGCCAGTCCAACAGAGGCTGAGCCCTCTCTGCTATACTACTGTGTGGCCTTTAGGAATCACTTAACCTCTCTGAGCTTCTCTGGTAAAATGGGGCTGTTAAGACCCAACAGGCAGGGTCTGTGTGAGAGGTAAGATAACACGAGGGGGAGAGCTGTAAAACCAATCAGGCCTAGGGGACAGCTGAGACTGTGCCCCAGGCCGGGCGGCGCAAGGAGGAGGCCTGACTGCCCCCCAGACTCCCCAGCCTCAGGCCCAGAGAGCCGACGGAGGAGGTGTGACACATGACCTCCTCCCCAGCCAGCTGCGGGGGAGGGGACCGTGTTCATGCCAGCAGGCACCAGGCTGGAGCCCAGCAGCCCAGAGGTCATGGGTGTCCAGGAAAAAGGAATCAAAACTCCTCTGCCCTCCCGGGTTCTGGCCCGCCAGGCTCCAGGCTCGTTCTATGTGTCCAACCCCACCCCACGAGAACCAGGGCCCCCCTCGGACTCCTCTGGAAACCGCCGCCACCCCCCGCCAGGCCCCACTAGGGTGTTTCACACATCTCTGGGGTCCTTCCAGCAGCCGCACGTCACAGACCAAGAAACAGCTCAGAAATGGGAAGTAACCTTCCAGGACGTGGTGCCAGGATCCCACTGCGCACCTGCCTGAATCCAAGGCCAAGTTCTTCTCTACGACACCAAGTGACTCACACGAGGGTCTGACCTCCGATGACACCCCCACGGCACACTCTGCCTCTACGTCACTGCTCTCTAGGCCGGAAATCCTCTTGGCTGTTCACTGGCAAACTTCTACTCATCCCTCAAGACAGGTCCAAGGTCTCCACCTGCTCGCTGACTCCCCGATACCCGGCACAGTGCGGCTGCCGCCCTGTTGTCCAGGTCCAGTGACCATAACCGCCGGCTGAGCCCGGGGGAAGGAGCGGCCAGTTTCCACGCCCGCCCAGCCCACCGGAGAGACCGAGCAGCCAGCCTGGCACATACAAAGTTCTCAGCAGAGGCCTGCGGCGCCTCGTGAGGGGGAAGCCCTGCAGGAGCGAAAGCCCCGTTGCTGTTCGAGGAGGCGCCCCTGCTTCCTGCCCTGTCGAACATCTAACAGAGGGGTCAGGGGGAAGCCCAGAAAGGCGTCTAGAAAGGCAGCGCTCAGAGCACGCCCACCAGTTTCCTCGGGTCTCCACTTCACTGGGACCGTCGCTTCGCCAGCCGCAGCTGCTCCACAGGACACAGCACAGTGTTCAGTACGGGCAGGTGGAGGAGGGAAGGCAGAGGCCCTGGCACACTCCCTTGAAGCCCATTTGGGACACGGTCCGGAGAGAAACGTGGACACAGCTGCCCTGGCACTGACCGGGAGACGTCACGAGCTAGTTAAAGGGCTCAGAGAAACACAGCCCCTCCATCCCAGGGAGTTCGGGGAGCTGCTGTGAAAACAATTATTCCTCTGGCCCTGTGACCAGCAGGCAGTGGGACACCCAGAGGGGGCGGTGGCGGCCATGTTCCCTGGGTGCGAACAGCAGTGAGTGGTCCACAGAGAACTTTAAAACAATAACACGCACCAAAACCCAAGTCTCCTGTTTTTATCTCCACATGCCGACACTTCTAAAGCACATCAGTGATAAAATACGACTCTCCCCAAAGTTGTTTCACTGTTCTCAGTTCTATTTCTGCAGGTTTAAGCTCTATTTCTGAGACTTAATCATATATACGTGAGCCTCCAATTAGCCTGTTTTTATTTCTCATACTTTAAAAAGCTTTGTCTTCTACGTGGAAGTGCAATCAGAGAGCACCCCGTTGGCCAGCCAGCCCCCACCACACAGCCACATGTGCCTGTTTGCTTGTTCCAGTGGCAGTTTCCCATCGCTCAGCGGGTCAAGGTCAAGGTCACTTTCGGCAGGATTTGTGTCCCCCAACGCCTGTGGCCCTATCTACGCTTTCCTGTGTTACAAGAGCAAATAAAAGAGTCTGCTCTCCCGGTGCCAGAAGAAACCCAAACTGAAGTGTCCGAAGCTGGGCCATTTTCACCAAACGCTAGACTCTGGTTCGAAAGCAACGGACCGCCCAAGCATCAGCTTCGGTCAGCATGTCCCCTGTGTTTTGCAGAAGAACAAAAACATGGGAGAATTTTGCCTGATAAGTTAAAAAACGTATGATAAATTTTCTGGTGAAGATGTTTTAATAGAAGTGTTTGAAATGGGTAGCTTTTAAATAAGCTACCAGAATTGAATTTAAAAAAAAAAAGACTATAGGCGGTATTGCAATCTGTGGGGTGTATTATGATCTGAGGGTTTTTAACAAATCTAACAAACTTATCCTAATGTTTAAGGCTCCTCCTAATTGTACCCCTGTTGTTTCATATGAGAGAAGCTCTTGAAATTACAATTAATAAAGCGTTCTTCAGTCAGCTGTGAGCACGGCAGACTGACAAACCTCGCTCTCCCGAACTGTGAGCAGGAATATGCAGAGAACAACAACTTTGACAAAGTCATGGACGACTTTTCAGAAGTTAAAGTTCCAAAACAGAAACTGTAATGTTAATTTGTTCCTGTGACCAACCTATATGGAAGAATAAGGTTTTTTCAAAAACACATTAAAGCCATTAAAAACTATCAATCCATTACTTTTTTCTATTTTTCTCTATGACATTTACTTTATTTTTCATGTTTTATTTTTTCACTGACATGAGTTCCTAGACAAAGCTCAATAAATTGTGTATTGTTTCCTTTGCTGGACATTATTATTATTCATTTTATTATTATTGCTGAAAACTATGCTGTCAGATGATGGACGGGGACATTTAAAAGTGACCACTCCAGGCATCAAATATACCAGGTACATACATCCTGATGCCGGGCACTTGTGAAGCCATTTACACGGATTAAAATAATAATAGCAATAATAGTAATAGCAATAGTGAATCATGATTGAGCACTTCATATGTGTGCAAAGCACTGTTCTGAATGCTTCATAAGTATTAAGTCATAAAACCTTCACTCAGGTAAACAGAATGGACTTGAGACTTGAGGGAAGTCCCACAGCTAGGTGCTGGGGGTGGGGGACAGACCGCAGCCCCCCTCCCCCACCCCCTACCCCCGCCCAACCTCCACCCTCTGAACCTCTCCGCACCCAGAAGTGCAAAACTGAAAGGAAGCACTGGGTGGGCCCCTTCATGATTTCTGAACCACATCACAGGTTAGAAAAACGGAAAGCGAAAGCTGGGAAATTGCTGACAGGGTGGGTCAGGAGATGCATCAGCTGAGACCAGAAAAAGCCACTGTGATCAGACCCCGGGGGGGCCGGGGGCAGCAGACCAGCCCCCTGACGCTTGTCCCCAGGAGCCAGTCCAGGGTTGGGGTCCGACTCGGGAGGGCGGCCCAGGACCTCCGTAGAGCAAGGCGCACCTCACTGCCCCCTTCTGTCTGCGAGGGTGAGGGCTGTTTTTAAACCTGCCCGGGGAAGTTCAAGTACTGAGACCACTCCAGCAGGTGCCTGCTGGCCCTCGTCTGCCACGTGACCCCCAGGGCGGATAGAGGGGTGGCCCCGCATCCTCAAGGAGCCCCCCTCTGCAGTGATAACTCTGGTTCCAGGATGAGCCACCACTAAAACACGGCCCGGCCCCAGTCCACGCCCGCCCCACACTTACAATAGGCGCCCGCATCTTCTTTCCTGCTGTGGACCCTCAGTTTCAGGCTGGAGCTCGCTTTAACAGCTGCGTAAACGCCTGAGGCAGGGGGAGCAGGGGTTCATTAAGTCATTAACAGGTAGTAGCGACCCCAAGACCCCAGCTTCTGGCAGGGAGACCGTGAGGTTGGTCTCCGATCCCTCCCTTGGAGTCCCTCGCTTGCCCCCTCCCTGTCCTGCCCGGGGGCTGTGACCGGCGGGATGAACCCCTCGATGGGGGCAGGGGAGGCTCCCCAGATACCCGAGAGGCGGGGGCGAGGCCGCGGGGAGCGCTGCGAACTTCGCCAGCCAGGAGGGCCGCCCGCGACAGTCAGTGGCGCCACCCCGCCCGCGGTGCTAGGAGGCGACAGCAGCTCGCTAACTTGTTTGCTCCGGCCTCACCCAACTTCTCCGTCTCCCACAGCGCCCTCGGGGCCGGAGGACCACCCGGCATCTCGCCCTTCCTCGGGTCCTGGGAAGAACCACTGCACCCACCTCGCAATTTGGGAGGCAGCACCGCTGCAGCGGCAAAGGGACGGGATTTTAAGGACGCGGAGTCCTGACCCGCGTGAGGTCACCCGGCCCCTCCCCGACTTTCTGACTAATGAGAGCTTCGCAGAGCTTCCGGCCTGGCCACCGGGGCTGCCCGCTCCGGCCGAGGCCTCCCACTCACCCTGGGCCTCTCCCTGCACCGGCCCCTGCGCCCCTGCGCGGAAGGCTCCAAGGCCACCGCCTCTGCGCCTCATCCACAGGCGATCTGCGGGCCGCCCCGCCCACGTTCGAGGACAGTGTTTTATGTAGGATCTCTGTGTACACATCACGCTGAAGTGTTAGCGATTTATCTTCTCCACTAGGGGGGGCTTATAGTTTAAGACTATATTAAATTTTAAAGGTCTTAGAAGACAAAGGGTTTGCAGGGTGAAAGTACCTTGAACTATTGGGTCTTGTTTGTTTATTTGTGTGTTATTCTACTTATTTATGCTACTTATTGGTTATTTCTTGTATATGCCCTGCCGGGGATGTAACCCAAAATCTTAGACATATCTGGATGATGCTCTAACCAACTGAGCTACCAGGCCACAGCCTTAACTAATGGGGTCTTGAGCCATTAGATAGCCCTCCAAAGCTGGCACACAATAGCCATCTCATGAATGAATGAGTGAATGAATGAATGAATGAATGAATGACATGACCAAACACAGGCCCTCCCTCTGCACCCCGCTGTGACTCCACAAGAGTAGAACCAGCTCCTGTCCATCTCCCTGTTCCCCCCACTCCCAGCCAGCAACAAGCCTTAGAATCAGGATGCTTGGGCCAAACGCTGGCCCCGCCACTTGCTAGCTATAGGATCCAGGCCCCCTTCCCTCTCTGAGCCTCAGTGTGTTCATCTGTGAAATGGAGCAATGATGATACCATACAACGTGTAAGATGGTATGTAAAACTCTACTCCCCAAAGGGAGCCCTGGCTGGTGTGGCTCAGTGGGTTGAGCACTGGCCTGAGAACTGAAAGGTTGCCCGTTCAGTTCCCTGTCAGGGCACATGCCTGGGTTGCGGGCCAGGTCCCCAGATGGGGACGGGCAAGTGACAAACAACAGATGTTTCTCTCTCACATCAATGTTTCTCTCCCTCTCTTTCTCCCTCCCTTGTCCTCTCTCTGAAAATAAGTAAATAAAATCTTTTAAAAATAATAAAAAATAAGAACTCCCATAAGGAAAGAAAAAAATGGAATGACCGTATAAAGTGCAGAGCCCCGTGTCAGGAATGTGGTAACCGTGTGATTAACATGAGGGAAGGCATCTGCTCATGCGCACCACACACTATTCAGCAGCTTCCCGACAAGGACAGTCAGAGGCGACATAAGCAAGCGCCACGAGCGTGACTACAAGCAAGTTCTGTGCGGGACCACACACCCAGCAGGGCGCTGTGGGCCTGGGGCAGGCGACCAGCTGCCAGGCGATCCAGACCAGGACGGGGCGCTTCCGTTTTGCCCAAATGGCACATCCCCTCCTTTTGTCCTTTTTCTCGTGTCCTGTTTCTGTGCCAAGAAAAACCAAACAAAAAGCATCGAGAGGGGCAGGGTCGGCCAAGAAGTCCGTTTAGGTTTTTTCCGTGAAATAAAAGACACGTTTTTCACTTTCACCAACAACTTTACTGATTTGGGTATTGTGAATATGCCGCTGTCTCCCACTATTGGCTTCTAGTGGGTAGAGGCCAAGGGTGTTGCTAAACATCTTCGTGCATGAGACAGCCCCACAGCCAAGGGTTACTTGGCCAAAATGTCAACAGTAGCAAGAAACTTCACAAACCACTTTTGATACGTTCGATCAGTCATAGCTTCTCCATACACTGTACAAATCTTTCTTTTTGCATTTCAATTGCATTTCTATCTTTCTTGAAATAATAAAGCATAATATGCCAAAAATGTTGCATGTGTTCTTCCATTTTCAATATTCAAATGGATGCACAAAAATTTACCAATTTTGTTTGTTTAAATGCACGCTGATGTGACAGCTGTTACCGTACAATCTAACAAAATTGTTGCGAATGATGTTAAAGACAACAAAGCTACTGGAGCCATCCTATGAAAAAAACTAATGAACTTCTTGGCCAACCCAATACATTGTCACCTTCCAAGCGGCTCTCAGAAGAGGAGCCCTGTTAAGGCCCCAGGCCCAGGAAGCTACCACAGGGCACCAGCACCGTCAGCAGGATCGTCCACAACCCCATCTCACATCATCGCCGCTGTGCAGGTGGACAACCATGCCAGGGTCAAACTGTCACCCACCTCTGAAGCCTCCAGTCTTTTCCGCAGCCATGGCCATGGAAGCCTGTGACAGAGAGACCGATGAATGTTTAATGCAATCTCTTCCGTTCTCTGCCTTCAGAGGAAGAGGATGATTCCTCCCAGAGAAACCACGGTTTTGCCAAGTCTCCGAGGAAGGAGTAACTGAGAAAGTGGGAGAAAATGGCTCAAAGCTAAATGCCCTGCGGGGATTGAGCAGGAAGCTGGGAGTGGAGGAAGCAAGGCCAAGGCAGAGAAAGGGGGTTTGGGGAGAGTGGGCAGGCGCTGGGCGTTGAAGGGAGGCTGTAGCCCTGGCCAGCATGGCTCAGTGGGGTGAGCGTCGCCCCAATTCCTGGCCAGGCCTCATGCCTGGGTTGAGGCCTCAGTCAACCCCCACCCGGGCTGGGGTGCAGGCGAGAGGCAACCGATTGCTTCACATCAATCTTTCTCTCCCTCTTTTTCCCTCCCTTTCCCTCTCTCCAAAATAAGTAAAATCTTTTTTCTTTTTTTTAAGGGGGAGGCTGTTTGCACTGCTGCTTTACACACAAGGAGCAGGACCATGGGAGTATTTTGCAATAACAGGCAGATTTCTGTTGCTTATCAGCATCTCTCAGGACAGGAGCTGCTCCCACAAAGGTGCTCCATCGGCCACCCGCACCGGCTTTGTCCAAGCACCCAGGCCACTCCAGTGAGGCTTTGGGATGCATCCATTTCCACAGTTCTCTCTGAATGAACAAAATCAAACTTTTTGAAAGAAAAGGAAGCTGAAATATAACTTCTTCCTGAACCACCCACCCCCTCTCTGCAACCCCTCAAGTCCTGCTGAGAGGCAAGAACAAATCCTTGTTGAGACCCTGAAGAGCTCCCAGTACACGAAGTGTTCAGCACAAGCACTTCTACTTCCCCTTCAAGGAACACTCCCGAAGTGTTCCGGGCTCGCTCATTCTGCCGCGTTAAGTGGCCAGGCCGGGGAGCTGGCAGCTGTTGTGGACACTGCTTCTCGTCTGTCCAGCAGGCTTTCATTTGCTGACTGAGGGGTCTGGTGGAGCTGCCAATCACATTACCCTATCGCCCTGACTAGCCCCCAGGCTACTGATTGGCCCTGGAAGGAGCATATGCCCCAAGGCCAGAGCAGTCGGAAGAGGAAGAAGCGTTCTCTGGGATGAAGCTATGCACACACCCAGGTTTTTAAATAGGAGGTGGGTCAGCAAACAGTGTCTTTCCTCTGGGGACACAGAAGTGGGATGATGTAAGCGTGGAACCATCTGCCCCTGCTCCTCCCTGCGGCACAAGGAAATCTCACTGTCGGAACAGATAATTCCACCACTGCAGACTCTGAAACACAGCCTGTTGACATGATTCCTCCCCATGCCTTTTGTAGGTTTTACTCCTAGACATAGAGTTACAAGAAACATTTTCCCAATTACCATTTCTTCTTTAAAAATTTCAGTTGCCTCTGGCTGGTGTGGCTCAGTGAATCGAGTACCAGCCTGCGAACCAGAAGGTCGGTGGTTCGATTCCCAGTCATGGCACATGCCTGGGTTGGGGGCCAGCCCGCAACTGGGAGTGTGTGAGAGGCAACCCATTGCTGTATCTCTTGCACATCAGTGTTTCTCTCCCTCCCTTTCTCCTTCCCTTCCCCTCTCTCTAAAAATAAACACAATCTTTTTAAAAATTTAAATTGAGTTGGGATTTCTTCTTGGCAAACTGATATATGGCAACGAAAGGCAAGAATGCCAATGTGGCAAAAAACGAGCCAGTTCACTTGACCTCTCCCCATCCATCCGTGCAAGGCCACTCCCCCCCCCCGTCTTTCCTTCTCCGGGCTCACAGCGATGCATCAGCACTCTCCCAGGAGCGCCAAGTTTTCACCACACTCTGCAAATCGCAGCAGCTTGGAGGTCTGCCCCTTCCCCGCTAAACCACGCTGTGTCACGCCAGCACGGCACCTGACGCAGGACCGCCGGGAAGGATGGGTGGAAGGATGGCAGCTACTGCCCAGGGTGTTTCCAACTGGGGAGAAGCCTTTGTTACTGTAGGGTCCATCCAGTGATGAGTCAATACATGAGCAGCTCTGTGCAACCTCCCCACAGCCTCCAAGGAGGCCAACGAAAGGGAAAGCTTTCAGGAGCCGCACCTCACCCCAACCCAAAGAGAAACCATTTAACCAGCTGGACCCAGGTGGGACAACCACAGGGCAGTGTGGCAAATTCGAAGGTCCTCAGAAGCTGCATGTTACCTGCTGCACATACAACTTGCGTTTGACTGGAAGGACCACCAGCACCGGCAGCCCACGCCGGCACGAGGAAGCCGACCCAGACCTCACCGCCGCTGCGCTTGACCAGTTGGCCTCCTCTTGGATCTCCTATTTGCTTTGCTAAGCCCACACCTGTTCCACGGATCTTCCCACATTAAAGGAAAAAATTACACACACACACACGGACATGATGCTGTGATCTTTATTCCATTAAATGACCTTATAACTAAGAAACAGAAACATGCTTTTAATGTACTAATAGCATAATCGCATCCTATCGCACTTCTTAAGTGTATCAAATTTTAAAGCCATTTTAAAGGGTATAGGACAAAGTGTTTTTCACAGGTCATTTTAAAAAATTTATTGATTCTAGAGAGAGAGGAAGACAGAGACATCAGTTTGTTGTTCCACTTCTTTATACATTCACTGGCTGATTCTTATATGTGCCCTGACCGGGGATCGAACCTGCAACCTTGGCGTATCAGGATGATGCTCTAGCCAACTCAGCCACCTGGCCAGGGCAAATTATTTTTTTTTAAATCCGAGAAGAAAAATAGTGTATGTTCAAGATCATCATTAACTCCTTTAGGGCTTTAGTCCATGACGCGTTTATTCATCCAAATTGGAAAGCTTTGGGGATCAAAGTCAACCTCCCCTTGGTCTTAATAACACTACTTTCAAATTTTAGTTCTGGAACATAAAAATTTTTTCAAATGCTTCTGCCCCTAGATCTGTTTTGAAAGTTCCTAATGTGGGTTACCTTTGTCGCTAACTTTCCAAGTTATAATCCTCTCCTTCCTTTCTGTTCACTATTCTTATTTATGGCTTAAGGTTTTCTGTGCATGACTCAGAGAGTCAAGTCACAGTGCTGAATTTCGTTTTTTAAAAAAGAAACACAACTTTCAAAATAGTTTTGTTTAATCCTAATTATACCTGCTAGTAAACAGAATATTTGTACATTCATTTTTCAGAGAAGGCACTATGACATCCCAACTTTGAAAAACAGCTTTAAGGGGTTCGGCGAATGCTCTCGACTGCAGGCGCCTTTACCGCCACCCTGCACGGAGCAAACCCTGGGGGCGCGCCTGGCAGACACCTCACCTGAACCGCACGTAAGAGCCTCCAGTGGCCTGCAGACCGCACCGAACTGCACTTTCCCACCACACGGGGGGGTCTCTGCACCACCTGCAATACTGTGTATGGAAGTGGGGACTCCGGGGACACGGCCCAGACCAACGAGGGCAACCCCTCGCTCAGTAGGAAGCTGGGAATTTGAACTCTTTAAAACCAGAATCCCAGGTCGGTCTTATGCACCCCAAGGTACAAAAGGACTACTCCCCAAAACACAGCTTCAGTGTGACTGAACATGAGAAAACTCTCCAATCACAAGTGGTTTTTGACAGTGGGGTCCTTAGTGCCATTTAAAAAACCACTTACACAGACAGACTGCACTCTCGTAACTGAACTTCAACTTCATTATGCCCTTTCCCTTGGCTAAAATCTCGATGGGATCTAAATGTAAGCCAGGACGATGCAGGCCTATCTGAATTTCAACAGTTCTATGGGATTAAAAATAAACGTATCATGAAGACTTCATGTAAATTATATATATTTTTAAAAATATTTATTTATTTACTTATTTATAGAGAGTGGAAGGGAGGGAGGAAGAGCGGGAGAGAAACATCAATGTGTGGTTGCCTCTCGCATGCCCCCACTGGGAACCTGGCCTGCAATCCAGACATGTGCCCTAAGTGGGAATTGAACCAGTGACCCTTTGGTTCACAGGCCAGCACTCAATCCACTGAGACATACTAGCCAGGGTCCATGTAAGTTATTTACAAAAAAAAAAAAAAAAAAAACCCTCTGGGAAACATCTAAAACCTTTTCTCGCTTCTGCCCGAACTTAGATCAGTTCACTGGGTTTCTCCACAATTCTCACAAACTTGTGCGCACACCCCGCGGCCCAGGCCGGGGCACTACCGCTGCCGCCGACTGTCAGTGGCGTGACTGCGAAGCAGCGCGCTGCCAACGCCAGGCAGCTCGGCCGTCTGCCCAAAGCAGTTTACTTTGTGCAAAAGAAGTGGTAACAGGTAAAGCAAAAACAATATTCACAGGCAGCGTCAGCAAACGCACAGCACGCGTCAGACACGGACGTGCCCGGAGCCGCCAGTTGCTCCAAGGGCCGTGGACACGAGGGCCGCGGAAACAAGGGCCGCGTCCGCGCCGCCAGCGTGACCACGGGCAGTCGCCCTCCTTTTGTCCACACACCGATCTGGGAAGGTCTCTCAGTGAAAGAATCAACATGCTCATTCTATCATTTTTACTCTAAGCTAATTGTAAGTATTTTTAAAAAAACGTGTAACCTCTCCTGAAATGGGTTTTCACTAGAGAATGTTGGAAGCCTCCTTTCACGTGCTAACAGGAGCGTCCGCTCGCCGTCAGGGACGCGCAGTGGAAAAGGCCGCGTGGAGGGGCCGCCGGAGCGGCAGACAGAGCATCACACTCAGCGAACAGTCTGAACCCCCAGTGACATCCCCGACCCACAAACTAAAGACTAAGGGAGGGGAAGGGGTAAAAGCCATTCTCTTCCACCAGGTTATAAGCCTCCCCAGGACTGTTTTAGGCCAACGATGATGAGAATGCATCTCACACCGAAAAAGACAATATAAAATTATGGGTTCGCTGTTAGGAAAGAGGCCAAAGAAAACTCAGAAGAATCCTCACTGAGAAAACCTTATAAACACATTTCAGAGACAGAATGGTTAATAAAGACCAAAAAAATTAAGGCTTCCTGGCATCATTAAATCAAATTATTCCTTTAAGATCAAAACAGAAATGGTGAATTTGAAGAGTAAATAAATCCTAAGATGTCATTGAATCTCACATTATTGTGTTTTTTACTTAAAAAAAACCTATTATTTTAGTATTAAAATATTTTCGACACATCATCCTTTTCTTACCATTAAAAGTAGGACCAATCTAGACAATTATTTTGAAATCTATAAATACTTATAAAATGCATTCAAAGTGAAGTATCTCAGCATCTGTAAGGTTTTTTTAAGCAAAAAGTAAACCACGGAAACACAGGTTTATTAAACCCACTATCAGCACTTCAGTGCTAGCAAAACACCGTCCACCACACTGATGTTTTCCACTTCAACTCGACAGACTTTGCAGGTTTGTTTTTAATTAACATAGGTAAAGCTTTTAGCTACTAAGCGTGAACCTCCAGGAATATGAGAGGCCACCTGAAATCCACTAAATTTTCAAAAGTAAGTTTTCGATTAACAGTCAAAGCTAAGCATCATTAATATGCAGGTAAACAGTTTTTAGAACAAATAGGAATTTTTCAAAAATTTAACGACAAGTGAATAAAATAGCAAGAACTTCAGGGCAAGATGGTATGCAAATATGAAAAAATATAAAATGCTTGGAATTAATTCAGGACTTATAAAAATACTTGCATGGTAAACTGTTAAAGTAGTCAAAAAATTATTTAACAGAGCACATGCTAGAAGAAACCTTCTTTTTCCCACCTTCCTTCCATTCATACTTCACATACACAGAATTTACTTGGATTTTGCATAAGTATTCCTCCCTCCCTCCCACGAAAATTAAATTATCTTCAGAATTAAGGCTCACACACCTGACTGTTTATATAAATACGTGCAGGCAAATTTTAGAAGTTTTAAAACCCACAATATTTCACCATTATAAATCAAAGAAAAAGGCAACTAACAGATAAATTTTTATCACACAATCAAGGTTAACAAAAGAATTCTCAGCTACTTCTAGACAGTGTCCTTATTTGGACAGGGCTTTGGTCCTTACTAAGCCAGAGCCATTTTCAAGCCGGCAGACAGGTCAAGTCAAGTTAAACAAAGAAAGACTCACTAAAAACAAAATGGACAGTTTTAGCCCCGTTATTAAAATCACCAGTGCACAGGAAAATGCAAATGAACATTCTGGATAAAGACCTAATTTACTGCTAAGTCATGTGAAACAGGGCGTGGCATTCGGAAATGTCTCTCCTCAAATTTGCAATCAAGTTTCGACCTTACACAGTATCCTCGAAAACAAAACCTTCCAACTGACAGACGTGTGAACCGCGCATAATACATAGAAGAATGTAGACCTACGGTGAGTCTGGCCAAGGCACAAGTTCAAGTGACTACAAGAGGTCACGTGGTTCATTGAAACACTAGCTTTTTCCTCATATCATCAAGCTCATTCCTTTTGTTATGAGCCTCTCTGACTTTTCAAGGCATGTTTGCTCTAGAAGAGATAGAAATAAAGGCAAAAAAAAAGATGTTCCAACAAAACTGACAGCTTGTCAGGGAAATGTCAGTGAATGGTAGATTTAATGGGATGATTTTCCCACGCGATGTGGCAAAAAGGAGTCTAATATTATGAGATTTTAAAGGTGTAACGACATCATTTTCAGTCTTTAGTTCTGAAGGTTTTGCAAGTTCTGTAAACTTTTCAAAAAGGAATCCTTCTCAATAGACCAGATACAAAAGAAAGGACAAGTTTCACCGGCACCTGGACCACTCCTGAGGCTGCCCCGTCCGCCCCTCCGTCCCTCCCCGTCAAGCCCACAGAAGCGCGGATTCCATTTTCAAAGGCACTAAAGCGGCACAGAAAGGGCTTAGAACTGCATGTCCATTTTTTCCTTTAGCTTTCCCCCATAAAGTGCACAAAGCAGAGAGCAGTAAGAAAACAGACACAGGCTTGGATCTGTGCCACCAGAAAGGAAAAGAAATGCTTCCATCAGAAACGGAAGTGAGTTCAAGAATTTGAAACCACAGGAGAGGACCGTTCATTTATTGGCGCCACGCTCCGGCTCCTCCTGGCTGGTCCCAGACCCGCATCCCTCCGGGCCTGCACCTGTGGCTGCGGCAGAAACCCAGAAATCAGCAGGGGCCGGTCCGCTGAGTGTCGAATCCTCTTGCTAAGATGCTACTGAGCTTTTTTATCCGTGAGGTGTCTTCCGGCAACCGCATCCCTCACAGCAGCCTGAGTGGAATTGCCAATGTGAGAAGTGGCCTGCAAAAGTCCATGATCCAACATATAAGTTGAGAAAGTACAGCCCAGCATCAAGAGAGCAAGTCCTTGGAGATAAACTTGCAAAAATTTCAGTCTGTATCATCATTATGTTATAGAAAATAGGGAAATGAAGATGGGGGGACCCTGTGACAGAAGCTGCCTCCCAAGAGAGTCAGCTGAGCCTCTGCCCTGTTATTGGGATGCAGCAGGCACCTCTCTGGGCTTCACTCACCACGAGCTTTTAACTCATCTGTTCATGCTGTCAGAAAAAGAAACCATCAGAGTCGCAAGGATCTACAAACCTAGACATCACGCGAATGTCAAAAGCCACTGGCTTTTTAGAAAATTTTAAGTGAAAGAAATGCCATTCATTACTAGGATTCAAAACAAAAAGTTCTGTTAAGTTCCTGTTTTTCAAAGCTTCTGGTTTTCAGTAAAACAGATTAGCCCGGGGCAGGAGGAGGAGCCGTGCAGGGGTTGCATCTGAAGAGCACCCGGTCCGAAGTTTCCGGGAGGAACACAGTGTGTCTGAGCTGGGACACTTTTGCATTGAAAGGTAATCATTAGGCATGAAAACAAAACATCAAAATTAAATATTAATATCCTAAGAAGGACAATGAAACATGCTTATCAGAAAAAAATAGCGAGGGAACGTTTCTCATGCCTTCTCTCACTAGGAAGCTCTTCCGATGGAGATATTTTACAAGCACAAATAGTAGAAACACAGATGCCTGTCCACTGTCACCCTGAGGCTGCGGCCGGCACCACTCACCTGCTCTAGCACAAACGCTGCTCCAGAATCGATGGCGCCGCCCAGCTCCCGGTACTGACCAGAGTACCTGATGTAGCCCCAGGTGAGGAGCGCGATCAACAGCAGTCCCACCATGCAGTTGAACAGCTGGGCCACAACCTCCAGCCCGACGAAGCCGGTGAGGCCCGAGGCCACGTACAAAGCCACGATGCCCGTGAATAGCACGGCGGGGGTGCGGAAGGTGCTGAAGATGTTCTTGCTGCCATTGTGCTTGCAGAAGTTCTCGTACAGTTCCCTGATTTCCTCCTCCAGCTCCTGCTGGTAGCGGAGGCTGAACTCCTTCCCTCCCATCTTCTTGGTCTTCTTAAAATGGTCCAGAGCAAGCTGTCTGAATTCACCGTGCTTCTCCTCTAGAATGTCTGGAGACAAATATGGCTTCTCCCCGCCACACACCTAAAAAAAATAAAGACGCAGGGTGTTGAAGATCCCTTCAAACACAGGGACCAAAAACAATTTAAAAAGTAAAACACTGAAAAGTTTAGAATACTTTTTAAAGAAGTTTAACCACTTTCTTCTCTTTTTTTAAAAGAGTTTAATTCCAGAGCTAGAATATATTAAGATCTTAAAAATTAACTAAAAATGATAACCAAGACCAACACGGTCTAGGTTCACTGCCTCTGAAAGGACATCTGAATCCCAGGGGCGTGTTGCTGGGCGGGGCCCACAGCAGGCAGCAGGGCCTCGGCTGGAGACACCACCAGGTACAAGGCCCTGATTACCAGGGTGACCTGCGTACACGGGGTCAAGTTGGGGCTTTTGAAGTCAGGTTATAGATGTTTTAGACTAAGATGTACACCCACCATACCTCTTCCATGTTGTTGTAATAAATGTCCTTGGCAGAGGCTGCAGCTGCTAAATTGTTGGCTTCGGCGGTGGCCTTTTAAGAAAGGAAAGCATGAGGTGAAAGTCCTTCCTCTTTTAACATTCTTCTCTCACCTTATTCACCATTCTTCCTTTTTTATTATCCTGCTAATTTTTTTAGCTTTCCATACAGCCCAATTTATGAAATAAAACACACCTTTTCTGCCAAAAATGTTCTCACACATAAGAATCTTTATCATAAACTATACATATGAAAATTCCTTTGTTTCAAAATTTTTTAATATTTTATTTATTTTTAGAGAGAGAAGGGAGGGAGAAACAGAGGGAAACATCAATGTGTGGTTGCCTCTCACACACCCCCTACTGGGGGACCTGGCCCACAACCCAGGCCTGTGCCCTGACTGGGAGTCGAACTGGCGACCATTTAGTTCACAGGCCGGTGCCCAGTCTACTGAGCCACACCAGCCAGAGCCCTTTGCTTCAATTTTAAATGTTAAAAAAGCCGCAAGTCAAAAAGGGGAAACAAACTGTCTTTACAGCATCAATCCTAAGCTCTAGCGTCCTGAGTGGACATGTTTTTCTACCAAAGGAACAAGTGTATGGCACTCAGTGACTTCACGTTCAGCACATGAAAGCCAGAAATCGTGTTTTAACCAAATGACACTTTGAAAATACCAAACGTTGAAAGTAAACCTAACTGGAAATACAAAACCCGCTGAGTCCGTAGTAAACAGACACCCAGTCCACACGCAGGGCACGCCCTCCCCCAGCAGACGCAGAGCACAGAGAAGCACCAGGCTCACGTGACCCTGACCCGGGCGGAACCAAACGGTTCTCACGGTCTGTTTGGTGGGGAGACCAGGCGGGGAGGGGCCGTTCTGTGTACGCCGACCCACCACCAACACAGACGAGAAAACGGAAGGCAGCCCGCTGACGAGGCACGGGGCTCCGCGGGACGGGGAGGCAGAGCCCCCCCGCCGCCCTCTGAAGGGCGCTGCTCTGGGCCCACGTGGACTCGCGCAACCAAAGGCATCGCCCAGGTCCCGGAGCTGCATACCTGAAGCATGGACTTGGGGTGAGGCAGATCTTCTCCTTGGTAAATTTTAATGTATGCCTTAAAATGTAAACAGAAAAACAGTTACCAAAAATGCCACTGTCATCATTAATCATGCTCTTAATTCGCAGAAGGAGAAACCAAACAACTGTATTTGCCTAGAGACCTAGATCAACACCTAGGAATTAGCAAAAACCACCACACACCTCCGCGTGCAGGTTAGCGTTTCAGTGAACGGAAATGTTCTCGAGCAGCGCAAGCCGACCACGGCTACGGTTCCCACCAGGCGCCCCATGCACGCTGGCCTCCACTACCTGTGGGCAGAGTGACCGTCCGCCTCGAGGGGGCCGTGGCACACGTAGGTGCCGTCTCCTACTCACAGCAGCTTCCTAACCACCTCCTGCGCACACCGTCTTGCCTGAGGAACAAGCTTTCTTTAGCCACAGTAACCACTCCTCGAAGAGTGCTAAGAACACCCATTTGATTCTCAGACCAATACTGCCACCCTGTGGCCTGTTCTGGGAAGAACACGGGAGTCTGAAAATGCCTCTCACCATTCCCCCCAGGAAACTTTCCCCTAAGCTTCGAAATACTGAAATTCAAGTTGGTTTACGACCTAGATCGGTTTTACCAAAAGTCAAACATTTTAATAATTAAAACCCATAATTACCTTAAAATACTCCAACAGCCCTCGGCAGGTGACTTTTGAGCCATTGATCTCCTTTTCCATTAAATTCGCGGGGTTTAATATATATGGAATCAGTACCTGTAACTGCTCTTTGAATTCGCCGGCGATATCTGTTTACAGGACCATGAAGAAGGAAAAAATAAGCCAAACAGACCCTTCAACCAGGGTGAGCATCACACACTCGCAGGTCTGTCCAGGTGTTTCCGCGCACACTCGTTCAGAGTGTGTGTGTTGGGGGGGGGGTCCCGGACGCTCCCGGGCTGTGCCCGGCACACATGGACCTCTGCTCTCCCGCACCTGCATTACCTGCTTCCCGTCTGCAGCACTAGGTCCTCCCTGCTCAGAAAAGGATGTGCAGGATGCCCTTACCCTGGTTGTCACTCTGGGGGGTGCAAGTCTCCCTAGCCTCTCAAGAAATTTAACTTTTCAATGAATTCCATTAACAAGGCCTTCAAAAAATTAGTGATCAACCCCTCGAGTTCTCTCAGGGCAGGCCCTTGCCACAGCCTCATGCTCCCCTAAAATGTATTAGAAACCACTATTCATCCACTCCTTTCTTCGTCTTTTTGGCCATCTGTTAATGTCAGACGCAGCAGAACCACCAGTATTTCATGATACTATTTCCTGTCCTCTCCCCAGAGGGGCCCTCTGGACCACCCCGAAGGGAAAAGCCTGCGGTCCCTGAAGGTGGCAGCTTCTCTGCGGTTCCCACGAGGTTCCCACAGAGGGCTCAGGAGAGCCAGGAAACTCGAGGGCTTTCCTCAAGGTGGGAACCAGCTGGTCAACTACCAAGACAGAGGAATCCGACCCACGTAGTCCAGCACCTTCCTAGGTTTCCCACTAACTCCAACTCTCATCTGAAAAGAGAGCGGCAGGAACCCGCAGCAAGTGAGGAACCATGGATACGCCACGGCCCTGAATCACAAAACCGAGACGTGCACACGACAGTTTGGGCGCCTTTCTGTGGCAGGCCCGTGTGCACAAGCGGTGTGGGGAGCGGCGACCACAGCGACGGTGGCTTCCAAATGGTTCCAGTGACAAATATCACCATAAAAATCTCAGTGAAACACTTCGGATTCCTTTACTTCCTTAGATTATATGACCCCCTAAGAAGGATGACTCAATATTAAAATGACAATGTAGACTCCTGGAAAACATTCAAAACTATTTTTAAAAATCTCTAAAGCTGCCCATCAGATAATCACAATTAACATTTAAAATATCCCCCTTCCCTTTTAGACTTTTATATATTGCCGAATTGTTTTTGTAACAGACTGTATCACTTTATACCCACCAATGTATTGAGAAGGCATGTTTACTACTCTCAACACCCCAGAGATGTTTACTGTTTTCAAAACTGGTGAGAAAGAGCACCTTGGCGCTTCTGCTTGGGGCAGCGCTCCAGACCAGAGAACCTGAAGGGGCCTTCTTCCTACCGGGGTCCTGCCAAACCGGGAGGCAGCTGCAAGGGGGTGAGCGGGTGGCAGGAGGCATGAGCTGACCCAGAGCAGTGAGCTCAGTGCGTGTGCAGCTGTGGCTCGTGGCTCCTTTGAGACTATCCACTGCAATGGGTGACTTGAGTCTCGGCCAAGTTAACTCCTACACTAAGCTGGCCCCCAGCATGCTGGCACACTGATCTTGGACTTCTAGCCTTCAGGGAGACAAGGACTAAATTTCTGTCGTTTATGAGCTACTGCATTTTGTTATAGCAGCCCAAACAGACTAAGACAGTTGGAAGCACGACTGGGCATCTACAAATGGCAACTACTATCATTTTCACTGGGAACCTCAGAAGCTCAGATAAGTTTATAAAGAAAAGTGCTTAGTCTAGCCCTGGCTGGTGTAGTTCAACAGATTGAGCACAGCCCTGTGAACCAAAGGTTTGCCAGTTCAATTCCCAGTCAGGGCACATGCCTGGGTTGGAGGCCAGGTCCCCAGTAGGGGGTGAGCAAGAGGCAACCACATATTAATGTTTCTCTCTCACTCCTTCCCTTCCCCTGTCTAAAAATAAATAAATGAAATATTTTTGTTTAAAAAGTGCCAAGTCTAACACATGGGTAAACTGAGGGCTAGCCATTCAGTGACTCAAGGTCTCATGCATAAGGAACAAAAACAAGACGGTGGCACCCATCAGTCCCAACCCCGGGCTCTGTGAACTACCGTCTCGTCGGCACGTCCCAGCAGCCATGAGGCTCAGGTTTTGTTACCATCACAATTAAGGCGAAAACAACAGCCGTGCCTTGCACCGGGCCGTCTTTCTTTGGGAAGCTCATTTTACTTGATAAATATCAGCTGGCCAATGTTCGTCTTCCTTCACTGAGCACTTTTACCTTTGACAGACCAATAACCATAACACGTCTCTCGGCAGGAGCACCAACGGACAGCACGACCGTCGCGCCACACAGAGAAACGAAGGCGAGCTGACTCTGCAGCCACAGTGAGGCAGGCGGGGACTGAACCGGACTACCAGACGCTACTGCTCTTTCTAAGAAAACACACGGTTTTGCTTAAGCATTCACTAGATTCTTAAGTGGTATTGTCTGGTCATTATTTAATTCCAAAGATCACATCGCACGTTTGAAACACCATTTGTAACACACCTTTCAACTTCCCGTCAAACTCAGGGCTCGTGGCCACCTGCAGCCCGGGGTGCGGCAGCAGGAAGCAGGAGACGCTGGAGAAGCAGGAGTGGATGTGGTTCCGGACGTTCTGGATTTCTTCGTGCTGGTGCTCCTTCACCTGCCGACGGAGACCGACACGTCACAAAAGACCGTTTGTTTCTCCTCACTAGGAACTAACTGCTAGTGAAGGGAACGAGGACAAAGGCAAGACTTCCCCACTCTGATGGGACACGGGGCCTGTATTTTTTCCAATGAGCAAACACAGAATCCTAAGAAGCAATGAATGCATAAATTTGACTGACCGTGGCTTAGCTCCTATAGCTACTGAAGAATAGGTGATAAAGAGTTTCTTTTAAAAAGAGTATTGCACAATACTTAGGAAGAATAACAGGTTTGTGGGCATGAGGTAGGATCTAACCAGGTAGTAATAACTGACAAAGGACTCCTATGTTTTCACTTTGGAAAAAATGCAAACTAAGCCTGTTTATATTCATCCGAAAACAAATAGGAATCCTGAATAAGAACAACGGACTCAAGTTCTGAGTGTGACATTCTAAAGTCGCACACAGCATCTGGTGTGAAATGTGCAGTGGAAATCGCACCCGCAGCTCGGGCTCCTGCACAGAGCTCTTCTCTACAACCCTGTGCACTGCATGGCTAGGGTCTTTAATCTGAAACAGGAATATGAGTGTGTGTTAATATGTATAAGTACTTAACACACTTAGCATAATGTCCCATAATCCGCTTGAAATACAAGAGATAAGGCAAGTGAGAACGTTATCACTGCTTTTACGTGATTCCTGTTATACTTCTACTTACCTGTAGACGCTTTTCCAAAAATGACATTCCTCCCTGTAGTCCATAGTTGTATTCATAAGGGAAACTCCAGTCTCGAACCAAAAACATCAGTGTCTAATCAGGAAAAGAGCAGGACATATTATGATGCTGCATAAGTCCACTTTCAAAATAACAATGGACACACTTGTCTGCACAATGCCAGCTTCTTCGAAAGAGACAAAAAAATGTGCTGAAGGACCGGTCTGTCCCGTGCGTCTCGGAAGCCTGGTAACCGCATCCACTAAAGGCAAGCATGGGGGCGCAGTGAAGCACAGGAGAGCTCGTCACAGACCCGCGGCAGTTTTCAACGGCAGAAGAGAAGACCACCACATCTAAAGCTCCTCCAACTCACTGCGCTTACCGCGCATTTCCCCCTCGTGAAACGATGGGCTGAAACGGTCAGTGAGCCTCCTCCACACGTGGACAGAGAGGCACCCCAGGCAGCTGCAGCTGCAGCATGAAGCAGCCACGGACTGGACCGCTCTGCTCTAACACCCCCCCGCTCCAGACGCTGACGTTCACGTTTCAGGTAACTGATACATCATAAAATACTATTCTGCTTTTGCTTTCTTTCAACCATTTAAAAACGTAAAAACAATTCCTAATTCATAGGTCATATAAAAATAGGCAGCTGGCCACATCTGGCCTGTGAGCTGTAGTTTGCTAATCTCTGAACTAAAATAAAGATACAAATGACATTTATAATTAACACTGTACCTGAAAGGGTTTTTGGAAAATTTCATCCATTGCCAAACGACCATATTCTGTGAAGAGCTTTAAAAAAAAGTTACAGTTTATTAGGCAAAATTACTTAAAATATTTCTGTAGCTATTCTATATCAAAATAGTCATTTAACAGACTTCACTACTACCTATATGAAACAAAAGTTCTAATTTCAGAAACCCACAGGAGCCATGAACCGTAAAATAATCTTCAATCTGCCTCATATCCCACATCCCCATTCATTAGCAACTCCGGAATCCAACCATTCACATGTTCCACGCAGCTTCGAATACTGCAGTAGCTTCCTAACTGGTCTCCCTGCCCCTCCCTGCCCCATTCACAGTGTGGCAGCCACTACGACTGTTATCAGTAAGGTCAGTTAGAGCACATCCTGCCTCTGCTCAAACCCTCCAACCCCAATCGTTCTAAAAGCCAGTCCTGACAGTGGGACTTGGCCCCGCCTGGCTGTTCCTCAGACCTGCTGCTGCAGGGACTCGGACCTCTCTTCCTGCCGGCACTGTTCTTCCCCTAGACATCTGTGCGGATGTCCAATTTCCTTACTGGAAATGCGTTCTTAAGTCAAAGTCTACAAACATGCTGAGCAGAGAAACCCGTGGCCCTCACACCCTGCTGGAGCCTCAGCAAGCTTCTCCCCTGACCAACCCCGGCAGGAGTTTAAAGAATTCTTCTCCAGGGAGTGGGGCAGCCCAAGAACAACAGTCCGCAAACACAGACATTTAGAGGTTGAAACAAAATAGCTAAGTCACCTTCCCCAAACACCTCTCTGTGATCCAAAACAATACCCAAGGCTCAACTCCTACCAAAGCTCCCTGTCATGTTTTTAGCGGCTCCCTGTTAAATACAGACGGCCGAGAACCACCAGACCTTTGAAAAAAGCTTCAGCAGAAAAGACAAAAACTCATGTCCTTCTATTTTGGAATATCATCTTATATCATTCCTTTCATAATTTCTTTTTTTCCACCTTCTTTCTTTTATTAAAATACCTATTATTAACATGTTAATCTCACCTGAATTGGTCACCAACTTTTCCGTTCTTTGCCTACTGTTCCCATCCTCCACCCCCCACCCCCCGCCCCACAGCCCCTCGGATCTCTCTCCTCCTCTCTCTGCTCCACTGCCTTTCCCCCTCCCCATTTCTACTCTTTGTCTTTTATTTAATTGGCCAGGGAGATTTGCTCCCATTCATCTTCTAACTCCTCCTCTGCAGAATTTTCCATTTTTGCTACCATAGTTTTAATTTCCAGCTGCTCTTTTTCGTGATCTGAATGTTGCTTTTTAATAGCATCACCCTATTGTTATTTCTTGGTTGCAACAATCTGAACATCTTATCTGAGGATATGAATTTACAAAAAAGCCCACACTAAGGTACATTATCATGAAAATTCAAGCCAAGAATAAGACCTTGAAAGCTTTAAAGAGAAACGGAGGTCAGAGACAAAAGCTCAGGAATCCGCTGGTGTGGGACTTCACCACTGGGAGCTGGAGGGTGATAAAGCAAGGGCTTCAGTTCTAAAAGAAAACTATCTCCATCCTACGATTCTAAGACAAAATTAAAACACTGCCACACTTGTAAGACCTCAAACAAGTTATCTCCTATGCATCCTTCCTAATCTTTCTCAGGAAGCCACTGGAGAAGGCGCAGAATTAAAGGCAGAATCAACAAATAAAAGATTAAATGGGATCCAAATGAGAAAAGAACTGAGAAGAAATTGCCAGGCCCTGATTTCAAACTATATTATAAAGCCAAAAAAAAAAAAAGGCATGGTATTGGCACAGACAGCAGAGAGGGGAACTGAACACAGAGCCCAGGACAACACGTGCTCGCTCTACGGTCCATTTACAACAAAGACGACATGAACATACGATGGGGAAAGGACAGTCTCCTCGATCTTAAACGGTATCGGGAAAACTGGGCGGCAGGTGCAAAAGAGTAAAACCAGATTACTATCGTATGCCACGCCCAGAAATGAACTCGATGGACAGACTGAAACCTGACCGTGAGACCTGACTGTTTTATAAAACCCCTAGGAGAAAACACAGAGGACTCATCCTTGACACAGACAGGTCTTGGTGATGGCTTTTTGGATCTGACAGCCAACACAAAGGGAACAAAAGCAAAAATAAATAAATGGGACCACGTCAAACAAAAGCTTCTATACAGCAAAGGAAACTATTGACAAAGTGAAAAAAAACCTACTGAATGGGAGAAAAGAGTTGCAAATCACATATCAGTAGAGGGTTAATATCCAAAATATATAAGCAACTCATATAATGCAATAGCAAAAAAAATCCAATTAAAATTGGGCAGAGACTCTGAATAGATACTTTCCCACTGAAGACACATACACATGGCCAATAAACACGTAAAAAGGTGCCGAACACCCCAATCGTCAATGAAACGCCAACCAAAACCACGAGGAGACAGCACCTCACACCTGTGAAAATGGGTGAGTGCCGGGAGGATGTGGAGAGGAGGGCGCCCTTGCACACCGCTGCACACTGGGGCAGCCGCTGTGGAGTTTAGAGGTTCCTCAAAAAACTAAAAATAGAACTAGTATTTCGATCCACCAACTCCCCTTCCGGAAATTAACCCAGAGAAAATTAAAGCGGACTCAAAGACACACGCGCCCCATGTTCATTGCTGCATTATTTCCAAGACATGGCAGCAACCAAAGTGTCCATGAGTGAATGAACTTTAGATAAAGATGGGTGTACACACGCAATGGAATGTCCCTGCCATAAAAGACGCAACTTTTGCCATTTGCAATACAGATGGCCCTTGAGGGCATTATGCTAAGCGAAATAAGCCAGATGAAGAAAGACGAATACCATATGATCTTACTTATATGCAGAATCTTTAAAAAAAAAAAAAAGGCTCTGGCCTGCATAGCCCAGTTGGTTAGAGCACTGTCCAGTAAACCGAAAGGCTGTGAGTTCAATTCCAGGTCAGGGCACATGCCTGGGCTACAGGTCTGGCCCCCAGTCAGGGCATGTGCAAAAAACAACCGATCAATGCTTCTCACACTGATGTTTCTCTCCCTCTCTCCCACTTTCTTTCCCTCTCTAAAATCAACAAGCTCATCCTCAGGGAGGATAAAAAATAATAATAAAAAAAAAAAAAACAAAACAAGCTTGCCCTGACCACATGGCTCAGTTAGTTGGGTGTCAAAGCGAAAGGCTGCCAGTGGGATTCCTGGTCAGGGCACGAGTGTGGATGGCGTGCTTGGTCCCTGGTCCTGGCCCATCAATGTTTCTCTGCCTCTCTTTCTCCCTCCTTTCCTCTCTAAAAATAAAATAAAGTAAAGTAAAATAAAATAAAATAAGCCCTGGCTGGTGTGGCTTAGTGGATTGAGTGCCAGCCTGTGAACCAAACAGTCACTGGTTCCATTCCCAGTGAGGGCACACGCCGAGTCAGGGTTGCATACCAGGCCCCCAGTTGGGGATGTGCAAAAAGCAACCTATTGATGTATCTCTCACACATCGATGTTTCTCTCCTTCTCTTTCTCCCTCCCTTCTCCCGTCTCTAAAAATAAATAAATTAAATATTTTTAAAAAGTAAAATAAAACAAGCTCATGGGTAGAGAACAGATTGGTGGTTGCCAAGGTTGCAATACTATTTAACTATTTAACCTTTTAAACTATGTGTGTGTGTAAGTTTTGTTTGAAACAAATGCTGTTTTAAAAAAAGTACCTGATACACATAAAATACTATATAAAGACAAAACAAAAACACACATAAAATTATACAAAACCCATGATCTCTGCAATTCTGAAATCCAAAAAGCTCTAAAAACCCAAATTAAGCAGCAAACTCATTTGAAGAAAAACATACCTTGAACTAATGTGAGCTTTTTATTTTTCTGTCTTAAAACTTTTAAATGATATATTATAATGTTTCAATGAGGAATATATACCTGTAGCTGTTGAAGATCATCTTCCTGAATGTTCTGGGATAAATTATAAATCTAGAAAACAAAAGTCCAAATTGATACTATTTTAGCTTACATCAAACAAAGCCCAAATAAGCCTACAGCACTGAACACAAGCTCTGTACATTTAACAGTTTGCATATAAAAATATGAAGTCTGTTCAAACAGTAATATTTTCTGTCCTTTGGAAAACTATGCAAACGTGATTAAAATAACCTAATCTTCTTTTACAGTTTAAAATACAGTTTTCTTAAATTCTTACCAAATCTGCTTTCCCTATTTGATGCAACTGCAATTTCCACTTTTAAACTTTTCTTAGAGTATTTTATATAAATTTATAACCAAAGTAGAAAAATAGTATAGGCTCCTTCTTGAGCCTGTAAGACGTTAACTTGTATCTGTATCTGTGGTTTAAAAAGAACATTTACATGTGTCCCCATAGGAATTCTGATAACAGAACAGTAACTACAACCAGATGCCACTTCTTTATCTCATCTTCTCTACAAACTTGTTTCCCAGTCGGGAGGTGTCACCTGAACAGAGCTGGTCATGGTGCTCAGCGCAAAGATGGTAGCACAGTCCTTCACAGTGGACTGGCTGTCAAATGCCCCCTGGGTGTCCATCAGAACAACTGCAACCTTGAAAACAAGGGGGAAAAATATGTTCGCGTGAGAAGGGCAAAACGTGAAGGAGAAATTGGAAAGTACAGGTAATGGTTAAATGAGGCTTATGCACCTGCTTATTATAGGTTCTGTCACAGAAGCATGATTATTTTGGTGCCTAGTTCCAAGCGGAGAACTTCACTGGGGATTATCTGCTCTGACCGAGTAAAATGACACAAAACAGAGGCCTACAGAGAGCCACAGGGAAAGAGGGAAAAACTGCCCCACCAACGGCAACAGCCAAATTAACTCGCTCACCAAGCCAGTAATTTAGATGTCTTTTGTCGTTAAAAAGAAATTTAAAATACTAACTCACTTTAAAAAAAAATGATTTTAAACTTAGGTATAATCCTAAGTTTAATAAAACATATGGGCATTTACGTGCAAGGTTGTATTCAACCCTCAAATTTCTAGGGTTTTCTGGTAGATTGATAAAAGAAAACTAACATTTATTTTAATCTTTACAAAAGCCCCACGCCAAAGATGCCAAAGGAAAGCAGAAGGATCCAGGCCATCCTTGCTCTCCGTGTAAGCCAGCTAAGCTTCAAAGAGGTCCGAATGGTCCATTTCCACCCAGAAAGAGAGTTAAGTTTAGAAGCAGCCCTGGCTGGTGTGGATCAGTGCATTGAGTGCCAGCCTGCAAACAAAGGCACACAGGTTCAATTCCCAGTCAGGGCGTGTGCCTGGGTTGCAGGCTGGGTCCCCAGTAGAGGGCGTGCTAGAGGAAACCAATAGATGTTTCTCTCATACAGATTATTTCTTCTCCCTCCTTCTCCTTCCCTTCCCCTCTCTCTAAAAAAATAAATAAAATCTTTTTGAAAAATTTAGAAGCCAACAGCAGAAGACACAGCCGCAAGCACTGTAAGTGGCCACCTCTGGAAAAAGCAACTAAGCAGTGCAAAGGATGCTCCTTTTTATTATCAATATTGCAATATTATCTAACTATTTAAACTATGTATATACATATTATTTTATTAAAAACAAAATGTTGCTAAAAAAAGCAAGTACCAGATACACATAAAATACATACAAACATAACAAAAATACACATATAAAACCATGATCTCTCCCCTGTAATCTGAAAGATCGGTAGTGGCCAGGGGGTGGGAGAGGAGGGAAATGAGGAGTGACTGCTAATGGGGATTGAGCTTCTTAATGGGGAGGTGAAAAGTTCTGGAATTAGATAGTGGCGATGCCTAAACAGCTTTACAAGTATACTAAAAACCGCTTAGTCATACAGTTTTAAAGAACAAATTTTGTGGCATGTAAATTTATCTCAATAAAAAAAAGCGATTTATGGCATCTATTTGCCAACTTAAAAAATGAGGCTAAAATAGGCCTGGCTGGTATGGCTCAGTGGACTAAATGCAAACCAAAGGGTCACTGGTTCAATTCCCAGTCAGGGCACAGGCCTGAGTTGTGGGCCAGGTCCCCAGTAGGGGGCACATGAGAGGCAACCACACACTGATGTTTCTCTGCCTCTCTTTCTTCCCTCCCTTCCCCTCTTAAAAAAAAAATAATTATATATATATATATATATATATATATATATATATATACACACACACACACACACACATACACACACACATACACACACCCCTAAAATATGAGGTGAAATAGAGGAAATACTAAAGAAAAGTTTTTGAAGAATGGGAGTCATGTATACTCAAAGTGGTATTCTCAGATCATGTGCACCAACTCCAGCCCACAGAATACTGAATGACTTAGCATTTAGAAAAAGGCTAACACTAAACAACCTGAAGGGGGAATTTGGAACCCTAAGTCCTAGCAGGATTCAAAAATGAGAGGAACAAGCAGCTGCGAAGGCATGCTTTGGAAGGAATAGTTAGTTTGTTTAGGAAATAGCGGGGCCCCCAAATCCCCTCTTCCAGTTCAGGAGACACCTGACTTACCCCCTTTGAGACAGGCTCTACAACTGCACTTACTACTTTTTGTTAGAAGCCTCATATTACTATTTGACCCTTTAACCTATATTCATACATTATTTTTAAACCATAAACATATTGTTTTGACAAACATTCTTTTTTGATTGGATTATCAAAGTGCACATTCAAGTTCTCATTTTGTTGTTGTCTCTGTTCACGTGTAAGCCCTTTTCCTCCTTACCTTCTTCCCGCCTGGCTTCTCCACAGTGAAAACTTCATTCCAGATCTGAATCCCAGTAGTTTCTGGGTCAGAGCCCCCCCTCCATGAAAACCCGGTTAACGGTTCTTCTGGATCGCCTAACCAATTTGAATGGCCACCTTCTTTCTACAGAAAGAATAAGACATTTCCATTAAATCTTACATTTTACACATCAAGAATAACCTCTATGCTTATTTTGCTCTTACGAACACAAAGTCTCATTTTTCTAATTTGAAATGAAACAATTCTACCTCACCTGGAAATACAAGTATCGGAGCATGAAGTCCAGAAAGAAGGACTTGCCCTTTCGGAAGGCACCAGCCACCGAGAGCACCACCACGTCGAGGTCCCGGATGTGGTCCTGCAGGAGGATGCTGGCCAGGGCTTTCTCTTCCAGCTCGAAGGAGTGCTGGTCCTTCTGAACCAGGACGACCTGCACTGGAGCAGGCTTTCCACTCTCCATGGCATCACCTGTGTTGTTACAGAGAAAAACGTTGGTTTCGCATATTTTTTAAATACATATTTTTAATTAAGAATTTTTGTTCATTAAAAGATATCATTACGAGAGTTAAAATGCAAAGCCCGGGATGGAAGAAAATATCACAATATCTATATCCAAAAGACTCATACCCAGAGTCAATATAGATATCTGCAAGAAAAAGACAAATATACCAATTTTTAAAATAATAGTGGGCAAAAGGCCGAACAGGCTCTTCATTAAAAAAGGATACTCAAATGGTTAATAATCACATGAAAAAGTGCGTCCATACAATTGCTTATCAAGGAAATGCAAATTAAAAGCATAATGAAACCCACTGCCTGCCTATCAGAATGGCTAAAAGGTCACAGGGCGATAGCAACTGTGGCAGAGGATGTGGCAGGAGTGGAACTCCCACCACTCTGACGGGAGCGTAACCACTTTGGAACACTGTTTGGCCGTACCCAGGAGAACTAAACAAGCCGCCCTGGCTGGTGTGGCTCAGTGGATTGAGCGCGGGCCTGCGGACCAAGGGCTCCCCCAGTTCAAGTCGGGGCACATGCCTGGGTTGAGGGCCAGGTCCCGGGGGGGGGGGGGGGTGCGTGAAAGGCAGCTGCACATTGATGTTTCTTTCCCTCTTTCTCCTTCTCTTCTCCTCTCTCTAAAAATAAATAAATAAAATCTTACCAAAAAAGAAAACTAAACAAACCCTCGATCCAGGAATTTCATTCCCAAATATACACGTAAGAGAAATCAACGCCTATGTCCACCAAAAGACATGTACAAAACTCTTCACATCAGTGTTATTTGAAATGGTCCAAAAATAAAAACAACCCAAACAGCCATCAACAGAAAGGGTGTGTGCCACAGCTGTGCCCTTTGCATATATTATTTAATCCTCAGAACAGCACTAAGGGCAAATAATGCTGTTCCGTTAATTATAAGGAAACTGAGACCTACAAAAGGTAAGCAACTCGCACAATAAATCCTGGAGAAGATCTTGAAAAGCTGTTTGTTTTTTAATCCTCACCCGAGAATATTTTTTCATTGCTTTGCAGGGGTGATGGGAATGGTGGGGAGGAGAACATTGATCTGAGAGAACATCATCTGGTTACCTTCTCCTAGGTACCCTGACCAGGACCAAACCCGGAACCTGGATACATGCCCTGACTGGCAATCGAACCCATGACCCTTTGGTCTAAGGGACAATGGTCTAACTAACTGAGCCACACTGGCCAAGGCTTAGAAAGATCTTCAAGTGGCTATGTTTTACAGACCACTCTTAACCCTGTCAAAGTTTTAGGAGCAATTGATTCCTTAGCTCAAAATTAAGCACTAACTAGTAATTTCCCTACCAGAGTTGAAAGCAAAAGATAATTCTTTCAAATTCTGCGCCATCTTCTAGCTATGGGTATCTGGAAAGTTTACAAAAAACTATCAGTGAGACCAAGGGGCTGAGGCCCAGCGCTAGCTCTCTAAGTGTGAGTATATATCATTGGTACTAAAGGAGATGTTTTAGGTAGTTAAAAGGGTATTTTATTTTCAAAAGTATGCATTTTCATGTCTATTAGGAAACAAAAATCACATTTTAATGGATCATGGCTTAGAAAGAGACTAAGTTTAAAGGATGAAGCCATTTAAAGTAAACTCAAGGACCAACACTAAGTAACGTATACACAAGTAGGCGATGTGGCCAAAAATCATAAATGCGGTCCCCAAATTACTTTGGTCTGGGAAGCACAAAAGGCTGCATGATCACGGTGGCCAGGTCGACAAAGCTCAAGTGCCAGTCTGTCTACCCTTTAAGCTGCTGAACTGCTGCTCCCTTTTTATAATTTATCAGGTAGCAACAAAGGGGTTCATGCCACTTTTTAATTTGTTACAGACTACTGGAAAACAAGTTATAAATGTAGGTTAAATGTCATGCCATCATTGCGATAAATGCATACTCACACTTTTCTTTACAATTATTGGCAGATAAGAAAGGGAATGCTTGTGAATAATCTCTTAAGGTTCTTCTCACCGCCACACCAGCAGGTGAATCCAGAACTTAAGAGACCCTCGGTCTTTCCTGTAAGGGCACTAAGGAGAACCATCCGTTCAGACCTTAGGGACACCCCACTCAAAGCAGCACAGAACGAAGTCCCTGAGAGAGCTGGTTGATCACCCAATGTTCATTTTCCCCTCCACTACAGTGAGGGATTTTTGGCTTGGCATATGAACTGCCCAACGCATTTCCAACCCAACCTTGCAGCTGGGGTGTCACCATGACTAAATTCTGACTGGAAACGATACAGCAACTGCAAGGTCATGCATTTTCCCCCTTCCTGCTGGCTGAACACAGAAGTGGGAGTGAGTCATCCTGGGCCTGGCTCAGGAGGGCAACACCCGAGGAGTACTGGAGCCACAGGGGCGGCAGGGCTCAGGACTTTGTACAACAGAACTGCCAACTGGTTCACTACCACATGAAGGAAACTAAAAATCGACCTTGTGTACATCACTTACCTAGAGGCGCAATCAGATGTCGCCAAACCTGGAAACCAACACAGCAGTCCCCCAGGACTTGAAATTGAGTTCATGAAACTGGCTTTTTGAATTTCTACTATTTTACCATTAAAGTTCCCGGGGCAAAGTGAATGCCCTGATACATAGCAGACACACAATGAACAACTGTAAAAAGAACATGTACCTAGCAGCGGTATCAAACTCATCGTCACTGGGGGCCACATCAGCCTGGCAGCTGCCTTCAAAGGGCCAAATGTAAACTCCAGGGCTGTATACATGTAACTGCTCCCTAACACAGTTTAGCGAGAGCTCAATGGCGCCAGGCCAGATACAGCAAGGTGGAGGGCTGGGTTCGGCCCTCGGGCCTCGCATGTGCCACCGTGAGGTGCCGTGATGCAGGTGAAGGCTCCGACCCCATGCATGCAGCTGGTACCGCTAGAGCAGCGGACGCCAGACAAGATGGAATGCTCCAGCGACAGCAGCGAGGTGGGTGCACACTCGACAGAAGCTGAGACCACTGAGAAGGGTGGTTAGAAGAACAGAGCGACAAAGCCCTCACTCAAGTCTTTCTCTCTTTCTGCCGACAGCACAGGGTGAAGGAAGAGACGCAGGCGGTGTTCAGCTGGGCGACCCTGCACTCGTCTCCACAGCAGCACGGTGGGCACGTTGGATTAAAAAAAGACCCCGTTCGTTTGGCTTGAACTGCTCACCAAATCTGACTGAAACAAACAGCTGCTCACTTTTTACCACACCATCATTACCTCTCTCCCTAGGACAACAGGACTACACTTCTGATCTTCCAGGTAAAACCTTCACTCCTATGCACCCCCTTCCAGAGCTCACGTCAATGTCCTTTGCCGATTTATCCTCGCAACTCAGGCTCCCCAATCCCTGCCAGGGTGTCCAACCCACAGCCCGCAGGCTGCATTCGGTCATGCATGGCTAGGAATGAGGCCCAACACAAAGACATAAATTTACTTAAAACAATATGAGATTTTTGGGGGTGTGATTACACATCACAGAGTATCTAATGTGTGGCCTGAGACAACTCTTCTGCTTCCAGTGTGGCCCAGAGATGCCAGAAGCTAACCTTCTGTGTTAGCTGTTGTGTTACCTGGACACGCCCCTGCTCAGACACTTGAACCAGACCTGGGGCCCCTTCCCCTGGGCTAGGCCATCCTCCAACCCTTCTCGCCTATTAAGTCGACCACTTGGTCACCATCCCCAAGCGTTTCTTTGATCACGTCACCTCAGTCCCTTAGGACTGAACTCCTTCATTGCAGACATAATTGCAATGTGCCGCCCGGGCGCTCCCGAGGAGGAGAAACTAGGAGGCATTCAGCCTCAGCACCTAACACAGAAGAACAGTAGCTCCCTAGTGTTGCGAACTCTCAGCCCAACAGCAAACCTCAACAAAAACCCGTCTCATGGACCCATCCCCTCTTAGCACCTGGCTCTCTGACTTCCCTCCCAATCTATTCATGGCCTCTCTTGATTTTCATTCAACCCTCTCTCTGTGTGACAGAACCCAACTGTCACTTCTAAAGCTTCTTAACACCCATGGGCTCAGTGTCAGCACACAGTCCTAGTTCTCCAAGCGCTGCCTCACCCCGCCCCCTGCCCCGCCCCGCACTTCTCTCTCTCCCTCTCGGCTTCCTGCCACTTACACCAGCCCTCGGCTTCAGCCTCTGCAGGTCTCATTAGCTCCCTCCGCGAACTGTGTATTCTTAGTTCACTACACCCTCTACGTCGGGGATGCAATTTCATTAACTTCTAACCTCCATTCAGGTCCAAATGTGCAACCGCCTACGGACGGGTTCACCTGGACATTCCGCACCACTTCACGCTCTTGGGAGTTAGTATGTAGAAATATATGGGCACCAGAGTCGGGAGACAATCCTGTTCCGGTTCTACCACAATGTGTGTGGTTCTGGGCATGCCTAGGCTCTGCTGTCTCACTCACAACAGAAAACTGAGTCAAGGTTCACCCTCTAGCGACCCTTCCAGTGCTAACATTTTAGAAATCCACATTCGGTATCATCCAAATGAGTCCTCGAGTTATTCCACTTTTCTCAAAATCTCCATCGTTCAGGCTCCACATCTTCCCTACCTTCCTATACACAATATACCATCAAATTCTATCATTTCCTCCTTCCAAAATTTAAGCTCTTGCTTTGGCAAAGGTGGTTATTCTAGTGAGGCAATATGTACAGGAGAAAGGCCTTCCCAACAACCAGGGAAGGGCAGTTTGGGGCCCACTTTTACACTGCATGTAACAGCCTGAGTAAACCACTTTCTTCTTGCCTTGGTTCCTCTATAAAATCAGGAGTTAGCCCTGACTGATGGGGCTCAGTGGCTGGGTCATTGCACAAACTGAGAGGTCCCGGGCTCAGTTCCCCATCAGGGCACGTGCCTGGTTTGTGGGCCAGCAAGAGGCAACCAATCAATGTTTCTCTCCCTTTCTTTCTCCCTCCCTTCCCCTCTTTCT